AAGTCAATAACATCTATCTTTTAAAAAAGAAATATATAAAATAGACATCGTCATATTTGAAACATCGAATATGTATTTCAATTTACAGCCAAAAAAAGGATCTCATTTTACCGACTACCTCACTTTTTTTCCCACATAGCAATAACATTGGCTACAGTGTGCAAATGAACTTATGTAGAAACCTTTGAAGTTTTTTTCACCTTAGAAATGACCTTCCATTAATGGCATTTCTGTGCACACGTAAGCTTTGCTATGTTTTTTTTTTTTTTTTTTTTTTGGTCAAAGAGTGTATTACTTCACGAATAGTGGTGAAGAGGGTTTAATAACCTTCAGAATACATTCAACCACTGACAGTCAGTTTCACGTGTGTTTCACGTGTATGCAAAACTAAAATAAATAGTGTTTTTTTTTTAAAAAAAAATGTGTTTTGAGCCATATACCTATCGAAATGGTTTGCTTTAGAAATAGTTAACTATTTTTCTTTGTATATGACCTAGTCAAAATATGTAAACTTCAGTTCTTAACAAATAATAAGTATTACAGGTTCGATTTTTATTTTTTAATTAAATTTAAAATACACAAACGTATTTATAAGTAAAATATATTTATGACTTATAATTTATAAGTTACATCAGTTTTATTACATGTTAAAAGAAAACATAATAATGAAATCAATTTATATGTTATACTGTTTAGTTAATTAAAATGTATTAAGTAAATTAGATAAAAGTAGTAGTAACGTTAATTGTATTAAGATAATAATTAACTATTTAAAAATTTAACTTTATATATTTTTCAATTCATTGAACTAATAACTAAATTCAACTGAAAACAATTTAAATTATAACATACTTATCCAAAAATCGAAAAATGAAATACTATTGGTTTAAACTTTAAATTATAGGTACCATACTTAATTCTCAAATAAATTAATTTAATAGAAAAGTAATTCTTGTCGTTATTTATTTTACACTTATTTTGGAATTCAGTCGTCTGTATCAGATAAAAAAGAAAATGAATAACCTATAGATTTACAATAACCATTTAAATCCAATAAAGACAACGATTGTTGAATTCACAATACATTTTTGAATAGACGGGACCAGCTGGTATTAAGTATATGAAACATATTGTTAACTTGACACATGTCTTAGCATATATACATGCATTCATGCATTGTATTAGTAAACTTTATAAATGAAACAAATAGTATCAATGAAAACTAGAATCAAAAATAGTTCTCTAAGAACTACGAAGATAGTCACGGACTTTTTACGGTGATTTTCTTTTGGAAAATAATATAATGCAATAGTAAAACGAAGAAGAATACTCAAGAGTAAAAAAAAGCTCAGAAATAAATGATTTTTTTTTCAAATAAGTTGTTAATTTTTCTTAAATGCAAGTATCGCGAATAAAGACGGTAATATGTGTATACATACATTAAAATGACCTTTTGATAAGAAAAATTATTATAATGATAGAAAAAATAGGTCAGAAGTTTTAATGTTGAAAAATATATTTAAAATTATTAATATATATACTTGTAAAAAATAAATAAATATATTTTTGCTTTAAATAATTTTAAAATTCTTCAAATATTACCGACATAATCATTAACATGTGATATATGTAATTATTTTTAATTAAATTATATGTATATAGTGGAAATTTTAAAACCATTAATTTGTTTATTCATCAGAAATTATACAGGTATTACAATTTTATTAAAACAATTTAATTATTAAATATTTAATCATTCATAGTTACCTTTAGGTTAATTTATTTAGTTTATCTAAGATTTTATTTTTATTTTCATAAATATTTTAATCATTTATATATAAAATTAAACAAATAAATAATTATTTTTAATTAACTAATACATTTTTTCTATAATAGATACATATTAAAAACGTTGATTAACAATGTGATTATTGTTTTGTGATATTCATTCGGATTTTGACTAATAATAAACTCACAATTCACGTTCCTAAGTAAATTAAAACTTCAGTAATAAGTATATATTTATATTGGAAAGTAATCTAATTGAATTCAAATTGCATACACCATACATAAAACAAATTAAATAAGATTAGTATTTTATGAGAAAGCAGTAATTTTGATTCTAATAAATATCAATACATTAATTACATTTTATAATAAATAAAACGATCATATATAATTATTTGTATATCAGTATTAAATGTAAATACGAATTTAATTAAAATGTTTTAAATGTAGTGTTTTTTCTTGGTAATTTAAAATGAACACTGAGTGTTAGATATAGAACTATAAAAAACAGTTTATTAATCAGAGCATAGATCAATATTTTAAAATTTTTGCTGAGTAAAAAGTATATCAGTATTCATTTAGTAGTTCGGTCAATTTGAGATAAAGTCTTCGTCATAGAAATAAGACTACAACAATTGCACATATCTATAGCCTATTAAATTACATTAACAATTTATAAAAATGTATATACCTAGTCGAATAATAAATTATTTAAACATTCATACTTGGATCAATGAAAATGGTTTTAGCAAATATACTAACTCAAAATTTAAATACTCACCTTAATAAATTATAATGATGATATTATTATGAAACAAAACAAATCGTCATTTAACAAAACACAATCAAGTATCCGGAACAGGCTATTGTTTATGCTAATATGATGCGATGGTAGCGAAAACAATGTATAAACAGTAATGGTATTTGCATTTATTTCATTTAACTCTTACATGATTTCTAAAAACGTCTCAATTTATACTCGTTAAAAAAGCATTTTAAATTAATCTAAGTGTCTTCAGTATGGGTTAAATATTATAAATATTTTATCCAGTCAAATTTCTTAAAAGTTTAAACTATATAGAAAATTAATAAAATAAAAATAAAATAATACCGTCACCTTTGTCATTATTCTGTTTTAAAAATTATCAAGACTTCCGCCTATTGAGGGTTCCCCGTCGACAAGGTAGTAGGAACAAATGTGCGGAAAAAATTACACCACGCTTTTGTCACAGGTTCTATTCCCTAATGTAATATTATTCGAGTAGTGTTAGAGGTACCCCGACCCACACAAAAGAGGCTTTCATAATATGACGCGGCGTCGATCATGACTACAGAATACTGCTGCGCTATAATATACATTAAACAAGGGGAGAAAGCGTTAGAGGAGTACACTAATAATAATAATAATAATAATAATATTAATAATAATAATAATAATTAACCAGTTGGTGAGACAACAATATTTTCCCAAAATGGGGGGGGGGGGGTTAGTATAATAAATATGATGTGTTTGGTTCACCGACAGCATATACAGCTAGGTTCATAGCCATCCGAAACAAAAAGATGCGGATAGAGCGCAATTCTGAACGCTTGGCGTTTATATTATAATATGTATTATATTTTATATAAATATTAAAACTCAACATTACGACCTCAAAACAATAGTTTTAACGTCCACTTTTATTCGACCTGTCATGTGCACTGCTCCATTTTCCACTCACCGCCACGGGTCACTTTTGTTCTCGTCATTCGTTTTCCCTCGGCCACCCAGTAATTTATTCCAATTGTGCGATTCGTTGATTTTTATTTTTTCCTACGCAAGTTTATAGGTATGCACATTACACATACGCGTACACTGTACTGAATAATGTAAAACAACATGCGGACGATATGATGATTAATAGCCTGGTTAGCCACCACTAAGCAGCGCATCGACGACATTACATGAATATAATATGCATAATCTATGTGTGTAAATAGATAGATATACATAAATATGAATATCTGTGTACTTATATTTGCATGTGTACGTGGGTCTGTAGCGAAATACCGGTCAGCTGTGTCATCGGCGGCAATAATCGCGATGAGGTGATGAGGTAGCAGAGGAAGATGATGAATATTGGAGACCTGATGATGTATATAGTAAACAGCTAGGATCCACTCAACCCAGAATCCCTCGAGCCGTATTCTTCTCAACAAAACTTAGATAAACATTATGGGTTCCGTTTAAATCATTTGTATTGACTCAAACATAATAATAAACGTTGGGTTCTCAAAATATGAAAATTAAATCTGACAATCTTCCTGTTGTATTCGAATATGATAGTACAAATATAATTCAAATGTATTACAAATTCTTTTAATATTATTTTAATAAACGTGTTAAATAAATATTACATAACTTACACGCATGGATCATTTAAGTTTTAATTACATTAAAACTTTAAATCATATTTTTATTAGTAACTATGTATATAAGTAAATTCAATGGATTATAATTTTAGTTGTATTTCGAGTTGTACCTACTTTTCTGTTCAAAAGCCTGAAAAATTCAACTCGAATGCCTATTTTACAATATTAACATAAGAAAAATAAAACATAGGTACCTAAAAACCAAAGATTCCAATAGTTTATGTGAAAATATGTATAATAATTCAGTTTAAATGATCAAAAAACTTCCTAATTTATGAAATTAATAATAACTAAATCAAATCAAATATTGAAAAATATTTTTTATTTATAAATATGTAGATTTAATAATTTAAAATATTATATGTATTATGATAAAAATATACTTAATAATTCTATTAATATAAACCTACAATTTATATTTCTTGAGTTAATGGACATTTTAAACTAATTTATAGACGTATATATTATCCCCTATTCACTGAATTCGTTTCCAAAATGGGTTTTCTCTTCTATTATATGCATTTTGTGCATGTAACATGGGCAAATAAACGTTGTTAAATTACGATGGTTGGCGATAACATCTGTGTAATGGACAGAATGACAAACCACACAATCGATAAATCCCTATCTTTCAAATCGCTTACACAATTGTGCCAACGATTCACAATGTTGCCCCATCGCACAAGCTAGGTGTGCACTTTGTTATCGTGTTTAAATGTCAACTTATATAATAGTATAAAACAACCTTACAGTTACAGGTGTCAATCTCACTTAATATTAATAAAAAATTGCCGTTATACCTGTCTTCGATTAGAAACTTGTCGCTGACGTTTTGCACGCACTCTCCTTTGGTCATAATGGTGGTCGTATTTATATTGATATAATGGTTCACGCCAGACTGAAACCATCGACCGGACCATTGGGCAGGAAACTCACATTGGCCTGCAAACGAAAATGTACAATTTATAAATATGTTTAGGATATTTCGTTATTGAAATACATAATCGAAATGAGCAAGATTGGTTCTTTCGGATAAACTACCTATAAAATCTATCAACTTTATAGTTTTTATTAACATTTAATATTTTTTACTTGAACGACTAATAATATGTTTTAATATGAATAGCAGTACTCAACTTTTGACTGCTTTACGTCATATATAAAAGATTTTATATTTCTAAAACATAAATTTCTCGATATCTTCAAATACATATAATTATAATTATTTTAACTCATAATTTAGGTAAATACTTATGTAATAGCCATCTGCCCTAAATTTAGTATACATGATTTTTGTATACATATTTTTACACTTTTAGTAGATAACAGTAACTAATGCTAATCAGTTTATTTTTGTTTTAAAAATGTTACAAAATGATTACATGTTTAAGAATACATGTAACAACGATTTTAAACCATGTGTACTATATTATATGTATTATTTTAAATTGTATACGTTTATCCTAATTAAAACAGTTAATGTTATAAATTAAATTGGTTTTAATAAAAATATTTTCAAACAATAATTTTAATAATATCTTTCAGTCTAGACAGATAAAAAATAAACAAAGAAAAAACATATTGTATTTGTTTATTTTACTTCTGTGTTTATTTTGAATAAGTGATTCAATATTTGTTCCCGTTTCATGTTGCTCCTTTATTATAGTATGAATTAAATGAGAGGATGTGTTTCTGTTAGTATTGTACCATTTTTCAACGATTTTATTTGTTTATGGAAGGTTATACAATACAAGAATACGTATATAGTATACAGTTATTAGATTAGGTAAATAAGCTTTTATCCACTTAAAATATATTATATTCATATTTTATAAATATTTTTTAATAACTCGATTTCGGGAAACTTAGTTCCAAATTAAAACAGTCCGCCGGAACGCACTCGTGATATTAAACTGTATAATTCTATATACGAGCTGATTGAAAATTATAAGGTATTGTATTTGTACTTTGGTAAATTATAATTATACAGACGCGATATGCGTATGAATTCACACGCCCAATATTCCTAACTGTATTAGATTAATTATGTTTTAAATTACCAGTCTGTACACGCAGCACAGTATCTATATATATTATTTTATATATAGAAAGAATCAAATGCGCGAGTATGTGTTTCGGCATAGGTTTTTTCACTACCCTTCGTTTACTGTTACTATATAGGAACATACGCGTATTTTCTTGATACACGTATGCACCTATATATGTATAAAATATAATCCTAAGGATTAAAAACTCATACGCACGATGGTAAAACGCACACACGTTTGCACGTGCTATAGCCGAGAAGGGGAAAAAATTCCCCTACACTTGTGTACACTATAATATATATATAACCACATATATTATATATGTACCTATCGTCATATGCGCATACGGTATATGTATTTGTGTGTCCGTGTGTGATGAATAATATTATTTAGTATTATATCCGAGTATACATGTGTGTACGATGGCGGGAGTATATATACTGTTAATAAACACGGAAGCCAGAGGCAGTTGCAGTGGGGTTGTGCGAGGAGGCAGTGGTCGGTGGAAGAGGGCGGCTTGTGCACACACGTATGGTGGTATACCCAGTTTTAATACTCGACCGAAAGCGCATTCCTATTAAACTTTAAGCTTTTCGGGTCCAACTTTGTGTATGCGTTCGTGTGTATAATACACAAAACACTACGCGTTTATAAACATACATAAGCCACCAGAAGAAGCAAAAGAAACCCGCAACGGGCGTCGTTATCGTCGTTGTAGGGTGAGGCGAGATTTGGACCTGGTACAGAGACCGTGGGCGGCGGGAAAGAGGGCGAACGTCGGCGACCAAAGACAGAACGCCTGAGCGCCGAAGGTGGAGGTTTGTGTATGTATAAGTGTGTATGTCTGTGTGTGGGTGTGGATGTGGGTGGATAGGTGAGTAAACGGGAGAGGAAGGCGACACTACTGATATTAATTTCTTACCCCCGCAAACCAGGCTGTCAAGAGGAGTGATGGAGATCAATATTGCCGAGTTATAAATAATACCAGACGAAACTTAACCTCCCAACCCCCTTCTCTTGTCTCGTCGCCGAAAACCTCGATTGTCGTGTCGTTCTCACACTTTCATATATATATATATATATATACATATTATACACGCAAACGTTCTCCCGCAGGCAAACCTACAACAGCGTTTATATGTATATATTAACACATGCACACATTATATTATTATAAATAAATATATACGAAATGCGCAATAAACGTGAACATTATCACCATACATATTATGCCATCACCACCGCCGCCAAGACGAGCACTCAGCGGGTAATGAATATATAATACGTCAACCATGCAACGTGTCAGGTATTTTATTTTAATTATTTTCATATTTTTTCCCAGATTGAAATATACATATTCATGACTTATAATAATAACTATAAGATCGTCTAAATCAGCATTTCTTAAACTGTGTACCGCGGAAGCCCAGGGTTCAGTGGAGATCACTTTAGGGTTCCGTAAAGCTTAAATAATTGTTTTCAACATTTTCGAGAAATTTACTTCAAAATATCTAACTAAAGATTAGTAGCGGTTAAGAGGAAAAAAAATATTTGTACAACTTTCTTCAATAACACCAGTATTAAAAATATTTGTATTTATAAAAAGCAATTTCATCTATTAAAATTTAGTCTAATTAAAAGTAATTTAAGCATTATTATTTTTATTTTAATATACAAAGTATTTTTTGAATTAAATACCTTTAACACATTGTTATTATACGAAATAGTTATAATATTTATAGCAAAAAATCCTAAATAGGCTTAAAAGCTAAAAAAAAAAAAAAAAAATAGTATAGGGGTTCCACGGTATAAGTGAACATCAAAAAGGGTTCCACAGATAGAGAAGTTAAAGAAATGCTGATCTACCTAATTATAACAAGTGCAAGCCTGGTGTAGGGCACGATGGTCCATAATTGCATGTGGTGCGTTCATTTTATCGTTTTATTTATAGTTGTTTTTTTTTTTTTAATTAGCAATAGTTTTATTATAGAACAATAAAAGTAAAATTAGGCAAAATATATATAGTTGTATTTGATACCTAGTACCTAGTAATAAAACATAATTTTAGAGGAAACCTTTTTTATGATACTGTAAATTATAATTAAAATATAAATCAAAATGTATTGTTATATTTTAGTAGTTGTAGTCATTTCGAATTAATTTAATATTAACCGGAAGTCTGTAAAGAAATAAGTGGACAACATTATAAAGTTTATAGAAACGAGATATTCAAAGCCGATTGGAGAGGAAGTTGATAGTTGGATTTTTAAAATTTATACAGAAAAATAATAATATTATTGTTAAACGTTGAAAACGCGATTATATAACTTAAGGCCATCCGCGCATAACGAAGACGTCTCCTCTTAAGCGATGCACGACGAGTCGGCTGTTAAATACCGAACGTCGATTATTATAATACATTGGTATACCTACCTCTGGATAGTATCCGGACGTACCACAAACGAGCAATATTAAAATACAATATATGGTCGGCGTGGCGGTTAGAAAAGTTATGACATTTCAATGGAGTTTAAAAACACTAACATTTTTACCCTTTCACGAATGTAATGATAAATCGAATGCAATGACTCACACATTTCAGAACACCACAAACAAATCTTCTCAATTTCTGCTATCGATATACACCGAATACACACACACACACACACACACACACACACACACACACACACACACACACACACACACACATATATATTTTACATATACATTTGTAATATAGTACAAATTTACAAAATTAATTAAAAAATATTTATTGAATAAGTATATTATTAAATTATTTTCATTTCATTTCATTTCATTTTTTTTTTTTTTTTTTTTTGTTACATCAGAACACAGAAATGACAGAAACCCGATAACATTAAAACAAATATTTTGTATGCACGATTTTAGTACAATTTAATTCTGGAAAAAGAATACAGTTCTATTGTTTGTATTTTAACATTAAATTAAAAAACATCATGCAATACTATAATGTTTATAAGAATCAATATTTCGAATAATTTATTCTCGTGACTGCTGATAAATTGATTTGCATAACTCTGCAGTACTCTATACGCACGAACAGGGTAGTTTAAAATACTACAACACGTTTTTCTCTTCGAAAACATTATCCTAAAGTATGATACATAGCAATTAATTTTTTAATCGAAACAGATGCCATCACGTGGTTGTTATAAAACCTTAAGACAGGATTTCGCGATTATGATGACGTCGTTTCAAACGTATCCAACACGGCTCACAACAGATATGTTTACTATTTATATACAATATATATACTTGTGTATGTATGTATGTGTGTGTGTGTGTGTACACGCAACAGTCACATCGACTCTCGACCTGTCGAACATCAGCTGTCAAGCTTCATAATAATAATATATATATGCATTGTATATGGACCCGAACATATCATCGCCGTCATCTGTCCGGTTTCCCACGGGGGTAAATATTTGCTCGCCGATTTCCAAAAGGGATCACGACCCTAGATCGAATCCCCCCTCGGAGTCTTTACCCCACACTGCTTCATCATCACCGTCGTCGTCGCAGGTCGACGATTTAAAACAAACAATGGGCAAACCGCGTTGTTGTTCCCGCTTATTATATACATATATTTGCTCGACTATAATGCCCGTCGTATGACGGTAAGCAATAAGCATACATACATTATATAAAACATATAGGTATATAAATGGTGGTATCGTGGGATATACCGTGGTCCGTGTACTCTGCAATACAAAGCTTTTCAAAAACAATGCTAATTGAAAATCAGATGTATGTATATTTATAGTGTATGGATGCCCTTTTCTTTCGTACCGTGACCTAACACACGACGGCATAATAATAATAATGCTAAAATAATGTGTGCAATGTGCA